GTTTAAATATATATTCAAGAGCTGAATCTGCATAGATGAAATTTTCAAAAGGACCAACAGTAGTTACACGCTGAAGTCCTGTCTCTCTAAATAATGTAAGCTCTGAATATAATTGTTGTTAAAAATCAACTGAAGTAGCGCCTAAGAGCCTAAAGTACCTACGAGAGTGGGATTATATTCATGAATCATTTGACATTTTGAAGATACAGCCTGACAGATGTAAGTTTGGTGCAGAGTAAAGGGCTCGTCTCATAATCTGAGTTAAACAGGCTCAGGTCAAGAAGTTCTGTGGAATATGAGCAGCTACACAGGGGAGCAAAAACTCCATCTGCAGCAAAACTGTGATGTAATTGCTCCTATTGCTCAATCTTAACCCAGCAGAAATGTCGGATGAACGGGTGGAAGCTGTTTGTGTCCCTTCTCTCCCTTTTCACAGATCTGTTGTAGCAGATWAAAACTCCCTATCAAGCCCACATTTGCTGTGTCTGTGTCTGCAGAGCTCTCCCTGTCTCTGGTGGGAGTTACAGCTCACCCGTGTTGGTGTGAGACAGCAGTGCACAGAACAGTCACAATTCCTGTCTTGAGAGAATTCACCAAACCTGATCCCATTCTGCTGGCAATCCTTGTGCTGGGATTCTTTCCACAAACAGTATTTGATTGAAGAAAGATCCCTATTTGGGTGTAATGTTATGTGAAAACACCTATTTTGAGATGTATTCTGAGATGTATTCTGGGATCAAGGGCACCGTGTGTCTCCCTAACTCAAATGATTTTTCTTCTCTTGAAAATAACCAAATACGTTTTTCTCAGTTCTGCCAATAACTGTATAAATAGAATGTTTGTCAAACAACTGAACAAAAACGCTTAAAATGTAAAGGGTTTGAATGATAAAAGTGGAGTGTTTATGTAGCACAGCAGACATTGCTACCGAGGTCAATGGTTTTCCTGAGGAATGCTGGAGAGCAGAGATAGGATTTGATCCCTGATCTTTGATAGGATTGTGATACAGCWTGGCAATCTCTCTTTATCAGTGCCATGAAGGACAAACACCATCGTCTGCTGCAAGTGTTTTTGGATACCCATCAGAGCATTCAGAAGGGTCTGTCAATCCCACTGTCCCTAAGCTTTGTGAATAAATGTGAATTTAAATATTTGTGATTACATTGATGTGTTGGTAGACAAACACAGCCCAGTCTACAAAAGCCTGGAATTTACAGTGAAGCAGAGGGAAGAGCTTACAGTGAAGGGATTTTTACAAACCTTTCTAAAGTCCAGAGAAAATCTCTGAAGGCCCTAAATGTTCCTGTACTGAGTCACTGCTGATTTTGGTTCTGTGCAGCAAAAGCTGGGTTTCAGCAGAGATGAACAGAACCAGTACATTTGTTTGGCTGTCATGATGTGAATTTTATAAAACCATGCTATGAAAGACCAAGATTTCAGCTGGAAATCTGCAATGAACTTTGTGGGTTCTGCTGTGCACAAATCCACCGAGGGAGTCCTTTGATAGGCACAAATCTAAGATCTGAGGGTGAAGGYTGCAGTCCCTCCAATAAATTGGATACTGAATTAAGTATTATTTTGTGATAATTCACAAAAATGCTTTACTCCAGCAAGGTTCAGCAAGCAGACCCCTTGGAGATGCTGACACAAAAACATGGCCACTAATTTAAAGCACAAAACACGAGCAGAAAACATTTTGCCAGGAGCCAGTGAGTCATATTTTCCTCCCAAAATTGTTGAAACCATTGTGCCCAGAAACAATTAAAGATGTGAGTAGGGCTGGAAAAGTTTAGCCATAAACACAAACAGACAGCATTATTTTGTTTGGGGAAGGTGAAGGTCATTTGGCTCGAGGAACATCCTCAGAGAGGGAGCAGAAGATGCAGTTTGTGTGCACAGGAACCCCACATTTGGTGACACCAAAGGTTAAACACCAATGTCTGTTATGGCAAAGGGATTGCTGAAACAGGGCCAAACAAATCTGCTCCTTTAATCTGAAAAAAAGTTATTTTTTTACTTAGATTTCTGAAAGCTGAAGTCTCAATCGTGCGAGTTGCACGTGCTAAAATGTCAGTGATTCCCTGGAGTTGGGAGGTGTGCTCCACACTCAAAAACTTCATCAGGCTTTGTCAAGACTCCCTGGTTTTTCCAGTGGTTTGGTGTCCAGCTGCCCCTGGCAATAATCTGTATTTTGGGTTGTTATTTTTGTGTTCTGCTCACACAGCCCCTGCTCACTGCTCTATTCCCATTCTGTGCTTTGGGGGAAGCAAAGGGGGTTCCTCTGCTCCCCAGGGCATCACCCCTATTTGGATGGGCTTTTTGCACAGCAGAGGTTACAGCTAAAGGCAGATTTGAACTCAGCTTTGTCAGGGTTTTTCTATGGTTTTCATTTCCACCCTGAGGGCAGGGCAGGATTTGAGATGTGTCCAGATGCTTTTGCTCAGGGGCACTTGTAACACAGCTCAGCACTTTYATACAGACACTCCAGCCAAACCCCTCTGTTTAAACAACTGCATTTACAAGTCTTTCTTACAAATAAAATGTTTTCTTGACATCCAGCTTATGGTCATCTGCTCAGAAGTGAGAAATGAGCCATAAGATTTCTGGGTCACTACAAAAAATACATATACGAGTGTGCACCAAGAGGTATTGACTTTGTTGGTAAAATTTTGGTGCAAGAAAGATAACCCCTTTAATGGTGCTTTGTTTAAATTCTCCTCRTTCTCAGGGAATTGGAAGATGTGTTTGTGAATTGTTTTTGAGAGGAGCAGAGCATTGGAGCAGAACAGGGCAGGGTCAGTGGCCTCAGGGACGGAGCTTTGGGCAGTCACAGGAAGGAGATGACCCCAAAAAGCTGAAATGTTTTTGGCCATGTCCATYGAGGGCCAAGGCAGCTCTGGCTTCAGCAGTGCATCTTCTGCACATCAGGATTATCTTTGATCCACAAACACACAGGCCAGGTCCAGGCAATTTGGGCAATTTGCTTCTATCATTAATTGAGTTTTGGGGGCCTGTACATTTCCCACATAGTCCTTCACATCTAGAGGTCAGTGGCACAGATTCTCCTCTCCTAATTTTCCATTTTCTGCTCCCTGCCAAGGAGCAGAAACCCTGCTCTGCCTGGTTTTATTTGTTCCATAATTGCTCCAAAATCTCATTGCATGCAGGCTTTAGAGCAGCTGCTCTTCCTTTCTTCCTCCTTTATACCCATGAACTGAGTTTCCCAGGTTAAAGAGCTGAAAAACAGATCCTGGGAATCTGGCTTAGCCTTGATGAGGGATGTGGTCAATAACCACGAGGCTATTCCTTTTATTTCCTCCTTGAACAGCTTGTTATGCAATGCCATTTTTCAGTAAGTCGCATGCTTTTTTTCAGGCTAATGATCCTTTTGATGGGGTGACAGTTCACAGACTCACAAACATCCGAAAACTCGAGGGAAGAATGGAAAATATTTTGAAACTTCAGCTGTGATATGATGAACTCAAWGGTCTGATTAGGGGTCTGATTAAGGATGATCTTTTTAAAGCAGGAGAATATAAGTGCTGTACTGTTTGGTTAAAAGGTGGTGAAGAGGCACCTGAATTTTCCATGTAAAGGATTTCTGTGGATGCTCCCAAGGCTGTGGATTTCCATGGGTTTCCATGGATTTCCATGCTCTGAGCAGTGAAATCCTGGCCATGCTCAGCACCTCTCTGCACACCGGTGAGCTTGGCTCTGATTTCCCATTGTCACACCTTGTTCCACATGTTCTGCCTGTTGTTCCCAGGTGATTCCTGAGCCTGGCACAGCCCTTAGGACAGGCAGGGAAATGGGAGCTCAGAGCTCAGCCCAGGGAGAGACTGAGCAGCTGCTCCTGAGCRGGATCACTGCAGGATCTCCAAATTTTGTTCATGCTTTGGTAGATGCTGGTGCCTCAAGTCTGTAATTCCCAGWCTTGCCCAGAATTAACAATTAATTAATTAATCCCCCCCTTTCCTGGGAAGGACACTGAGGCATTCAGCTCTTTCCAGGCAGGGAGAGGTTTCTCTCTAAGCTGTGCAGAGCCAGGCAGAGTCTGACACTCCTGAGTGATGGARCCACGAGGGCTCAGTGCAGAGTTCCTCTCCAGCTTCCACCCCAATGGATTAAGGGTGTTCTTCRGAGTTCTGTAATGTGGGACAAACTCCTGCACGGGGCATGCACAACTCCTTCTTGGAGTTGGTACTTCTCTCTCCAGACACATCCTCCAGCTTTTTGTTATACCCAGATTTACTCACTGGTGGTGTTTATGTTACACCAGCTTGAGGGGGGAAGGAAGGAMGGGGATTTTTCTGTATATGAACTGTCTGGGTGATTTTCTACAGCTGCTTTGAAGGATGTGTCTGTTACTTATATTGGGACTTGGATTCTGTAGCCATATGGCAGAGAACACAATTCTCCAAAAAGCAAAAGAGTTTGACTGATGGAAAACAAGAGAGCAATCCAAGAGAAGCCCTGCCAGAGGAGGAGCATGAACCCGAAATTTACTGTTAAAACCAGACTTGGGCTCAAGCACCACAAAGCCAATTCCAGCCCTGAGTGCAGCGTGGCTCTGTGAGTGCAGGAGCTGCTTTTGGACCTGACTGAGTCTGGAGCCTGAGTGTTGTTCTGGCATCCACGCTGATTTGGAAATGCACTGCTGGCCTGCACTCCTGGAGCAGTGGGACAATTACAGCGTTTCTAAAAAGTAAAAAATGGAGAGAGCCTCTGAATTGAAGCTACTCTGGCTTTTGCACAGTGAAGTTTGTAAAATCAATCAGAAATYGAAGAGGGCATGAGAGATTTCTTTTTAGACTACTCATCCCTTATTAATTGTACAGTGGATGGCAACAGAGGAAACGTGAAATGCAGACAAGCCTTTTTTTCCAATTTATTCTGCTGTGTGTTGTTTTGACTTTCCACTTGCATGCAGCTCAGYGCTTGCAGCAGCACAAGAGCTGCCAGGAAGGTTTGGCCTGATCTGTTTTTGTGTTTTATTGCAGGAGCCAGCAGCCTCACTGACTGGGAGCCATGTCGGTCAAACTCACCTTTGTGTCCCCTGGGGACGGGGGTGGCATCAGCAGGAGCTGCTCCTTCACGGGATTCAGCACAGTGCAGAGCAGGAAACTGGCGTAAGTGACCCCAAACCCAAAGTGACACTGAACCCAAAGTGACACCAAAGTGACACCGAACCCAAAGTGACCCCAAACCCAAAGTGACAGCAAACCCAAAGTGACACTGAGCCCAAAGTGACACCAAAGTGACACCGAACCCAAAGTGACCCCAAACCCAAAGTGACAGCAAACCCAAAGTGACACTGAGCCCAAAGTGACACCAAAGTGACACCGAACCCAAAGTGACCCCAAACCCAAAGTGACCCCAAACCCAAAGTGACACCAAAGTGACACCAATCCCAAAGTGACCCCAAACCCAAAGTGACACCAAAGTGACACCAATCCCAAAGTGACCCCAAACCCAAAGTGACACCAAAGTGACACCGATCCCAAAGTGACCCCAAACCCAAAGTGACACCAAAGTGAACCCAAAGTGACACCAAACCCAAAGCATTTTGGGCAGAGCTGGGAGCACCAACCCCGGGCACTCCTGGAGATTTCCCTTCATTTCCACCCCAAACTGCAGAGCGCTGGCCCTGCACTGATCAAGGGCTGAGCTGCCCCAGTGTCCCACAGCTCAACACTCCCTGCACACACAGGGGATGCTCCAGCTCCTAAAAAACCCCATTTCTGGGGAAAATGAGGGGCTGCAGCCCTCCTGGAGCTGCTGGGTTCTGACTAAACCTGAATTGCGAGGTTCATTTAAAATCTCCTGGACCTGGGGATGTTAATGGTGAATCCTGGMAAAATCTGTGATTGAAGTAGAGTCAGATCCTCCCCGAGTTACGGAGCAGAGYAGCCCCGTGTGGGAGGAAAGGCTGAGGAAGGACAGGGCAGAGGGACAATCAGAGAGGCAAAAAGGCCCCTGCAAATTCCCTGCTCAGACCCAGCCAAGCTGCACCCCGAATTCAGTTTTCAGCTGGACTCTGTCATTGTAGAACCATCCTGCACTGATTTCCCCATTTTGTTGTTTGTAATTTCTCGGGCAGCATTGCTCTGTGTAGTGACTGCAGCTTTTCCAGCAGAAATGCTCTTATGGTTTTTTCTGAATTCAGCAATCCCGGTAAATCCCTGTAAATCTTGAGTGCTTTTAGAAGATATGACCTATAAATGGAAAATGAATACAATCTCTGACTGCCAGTGCATGCTAGAGCAATAACCAAGTGAATCATTTAGCAGCAGCACACAGARGGATTGGGAAGTGTTTCTCCAGGAGAATTGTGCTCAGAAAATCCTGCTGTCCATCAGGAAAATACCTGACTCATGTAATGAAATACCTTTTCAAAGAACCAGATCTCTGAATTAAACTTTTAATTAAACACAGTGTGGTAAAGTATGAGCAAAAAAATGAAATCCCTCTATGATTGTGGCACAATTGAGAAGTCTTCAGTTTGAATCGATTAACTTATTGGTGAAAGTGAAAATTAGATCAGACACCTAAAATCACACCAGCTGCCAAGATCTGGAGGAAAACTCAGTCAGATTAGATAAACAGTGCAGAGTTCTCCAGGGGAAGGAACCACCAGGATCCACCAGGAGCAGAAATTCTCCAGCAGAGCCCAGGGCACCAGACTGAGGAGTTCATTTGTCCCTGAAGGTTCTCCTCCTACCTCTGGGTTTTTGACCAAATGCCTCTCTTTGTGCATTTTTCTGATGTTGTTTTTTCATATTTAAGTGTTTAGATGGGCAGTTTTGTTCAGGAATCACTGCAATAAGGAAGATTTCTGTATGAGACCCTCAGTCACAGCCCATTGAATATGGGAGCCTGCCCTGGCATAGACAAGAACTTTTTAAATCCAGCCCTTAAATTTAGCCCTTTCCTAACTTATCTCTCCCTCAGGCCCTGTTACAAAACTGAGCAGGAGCTTGCAGGGGCCCAGTGCAAGGTCTGTCCAAAGGATGACACACAAATCAGGCCCACATGGACATTCTAGAGCAGATGTTAAATAGATTTCTGCTTTTCTTTAGCAATTTCCCCTTGGGTCTCTCTGTCAGACACACAATTTCGTGTTTCCCCACAAGGGTCTGCACAGGATGTAAATGTTATTACTGTTATCTATAAAGTGGGAAATCTGATACTGAAATGATCAGGTTCACAAGGGAAAGCAGGCACAGAGCATTCAGCTTTTAGCTACTGGCCCTGCAGGCATCTCAGCTACTTCACTTTTGTAGGAARTGCATGAAAATGGGATTTTTAACATCAGTGCTCATATGGGAACACCAATAGGAGATGCTGAGGAAAAGGGGGTGGGAAATCCCAGCCTGGCTGTGCAGCACTTAAATCCTGCACTTGCAACTGAAGGGAAATAATCTCCAGAATTTCGGATCCACGCTCCAAAAATCTGAAGGCAAATTCCAAATTGAAACAAAAGCCAGGAGTAATTTGGGCTTTTAAATTTCAGAACAGAATTATTATGTCTCTTCTATATGGTATCTTGCTAATTAGAGAATTCTGGAGTGTAGCAGTGTGGGAACAGAGCACAGAGCCCTTGGAGCTGCTCACASAAATCCTTGCAGTGTTATTCSTGTTCAAACTCYCACTTTAAATACTCAAAGATACATTACCATAATCAAGAAAAGTAATACYAATGAAAATTTCTAATTTAACAGTTATGCTCCTTGTTATAGGTAACCTGAGCTCCGAATGGTTTGGTTAATTAATACTTTACACTAAGGCATCATAAAAAAAAAACAAAACAAACAAGATAATCAGTGCTGTGAGGAAATGAACTATCCAGTAATGTTTGGCAACACCTAGTTTATGGGATTTTTTTGCAGAACATGTGTTTAAAAATGGAGTTAAGTGGAAATTTAGGACAGGGATAATTAAAGCAGTTCCTCAAGGGCTTCTCTAATAGGACTAAGGACAGCTCTCAGGTGTGTTGGGCTGGGCTTTAATCACCCAGCACAATATCCATGCCTGGAACTGAAACCAGCCAGGGGTTAACTATTGAGCCTGATGAAGCCCATCATTTCTCCAGGTGAGCTGAATTTAGGATGGAAATTTCAGAGAAGGCAGAAAGCTTTTTAGAGAGCAACTGGCTGGTTTGGCTTGCTTTGGCAGAATGGGAAACTTCTTTAGGTAATGTTGTTTCAGAGGCTTTACTTAGGGGGGATTATTAACAAACCTGTATAAAAATAGCCCAGACTTAGAGCATATATAGACAGAGGTAAGCCAGGCAGCAATTATTTGCAGAGAGCTCATTTTCTGCTTTAAATCTGTCTATAACTGATGGCTCAGGGTGTTCCAGCTCGTTTGGTTGGCCCAAAAAATTCTGTGTGGGAGACTTCTGTTAGAAACAATATTTAATTTTGATTTTGCAGTTGCTTTTAAAAGTAATTAACGGAGGTGCTAGATGCTGAAAAAGCCTTTGATAATGACCTCTTGTATGGGGGGTCTGTTCTCTGCCCCAGGGTCCCAGCAATTTGGGGGTTCTGTGTCAGTGAGTGTGGGGTTGGATTGAACCTGGAGTTTTGTGGCTCAGTCCTCTCCTCCCAGTGATGTGTTTTCACCTTTCCTCTGTTTCTTTTCTCTTTCTGCAGCAAATCCCTCAGCAGAAGCTCAGTGAGATCCAGGATGTCCCTGAAACCCCCCAAAGCCTACAATTCCCTGCAGAAGGGGGCACTCATCTGGGATCCAAAGCCACTGCAGGTGAAGAAAATTTTTGAAGCTTTGAAGAAAGGACTTAAGTAAGGACTTTTTCAATATTATCATTTGCCTTGCCTAGTCATGCTGCTTAAATCTGAGTGTCACTGTGCTCTGTCTGCATCTGCCATCTCTGAACATTGTGGAGACTTCCCAAAAGCCTGGACCTTGCAAAACAAGTTTGATTCACTCTCAGACAGTCTGTTTGCAAACAAAGTGCTCTGATGGTTTTGTTTTTTATGGGTTTATTACTCTGGAAAGAGTCAGTGGCTATGAGAGATGGGGCAGTGCAGGGATCTGGGCAGTGATTGGCAAGAATTTTCTGGACAGGGAACTGTGTGGAGTTTGCTTGGACTCAAAAATCCGACTTAAAATCGAGTCTGAAAATGAGGGTGTGCCTTGCAAAGACAGAGAGGGAAACTTCTGTTCTGCCTGTGGTAATTACTGAGCACTCACAGAGGGAGCTGCTCTAGGAGGGTGTCAGGATGAGGATTTTTTGTTTGGTTTTTGGTGGTTTTTTTTCCCCTGTCTTCTGTTAATAGGATTAAACTGTGGAGTTCAAAAGGACTCTGTGATCTCTGGGTGTCTTGTAAGGGAAAGGTCTAAGCAGGTACCCCTGAAAATTTCAGCTTTTTGATTTCCCAGAATATCCTGTGTCTGTTATCACAGGAACTTCATTTGACTTTGCAGCTGCTATCAGCAGATAAAATCCCTTTCCCTGGGTTTGTAAACGCTGGAGCTCTTTCTGCTGTCATTTTATAAACAGTTCCTGCCTGTGTTGCTGCTGTCCCCCACGTTTTGCTACTGTACTCATTTTGCTCAGTTTGTTTCCTTAAGCAGAGGACATAAAATGCACTGTAGTAACACTTTATAAAGTCAGATATGTCACGTTTTTAGCCCAATAAAAAACTATGAAGTCTTAGCCCTAAAAATATCCACCAATGTCTTATTAGAGGATTTAGATTTAAAAGAAACAATGAAGCCAAATGTTTTTGCAGAGCTGGGAATTTATCTGAGCTCAGGGAGGAGAAGCCATAAAGTGGCTCAGAATTTGTTGCCAGTTTTGCACGAGTGCCACATGATCAACCTCCTGCCTAATTGACTGGAGGAACCTCCAGAAAACAGCTGGATCAAATGGCACTGCAAAGGCCAAATTTTAAATAAATGCAGACTAAGTCCACTTGGGCTGGAGCGACTTGAATTTTTTCAGTACAGAACATATTTTACGTGCCTGATTCTTTATTGCTGTAGAAAGTAACTCTTTGTGCTGTTAACCACTCCATTTAGCTGATAATTCTACCAAGCCTCAGTCTAACAGTGGTGGAGATTTTCTAGAAGGTAAATGAACATTTTGCTGCCTCCAGCCTTGGCTGCTCCTGCACTGAGCTGTTCCTGGGCAGGTGTTCAGAGCTGAAAGCTGGAGAAGTGTGGGGTCCTGGGGGACCTTTTGGAACAGAGAAAATGAAATGCATGAAAGAAAATGTGAAGTGTAACTGTCTGAAATGAAGTTATTTTGACTGCTCAGACACCGTGTCTAATAATGCAGTATTTACCAGGTGATTCTGGTTCCCTCTTAAACATTAGAGGAAAAAATTGCCTAAGTGTGCTCTGTGTTAAAAGCAAAGTTGGAAGGAGAGGGTCTCAGCTGAAAAGGTTTAGGGCCCTGTGGAAAGTTGTAAGGCACAGCCCATGGGTGTAGAGAAGCCAACTGGCACCGAGAGCTTCACACCTTGCAAAATGGTCTCAGTCTGGAAAAAGGAATGGCTGCATGAAGAAATGGCCTTTATTGGTGTTGAGTTCTATATGTAAAAACATGGAGTGGCATCTGCCCTGCCTTCCCTGTGCAGGTTTTGTAAAGCAGCTGTTCCAGTCTTTGGCTCTCTAAGATGGAATTGTTGGTGAGTTCTTCCTGCTCAGAGCTGTGAGCAGAGATTTCCTCAGCAAAGGAACCATTCTCCTGCTTTACAGGGCAGGGTCAGGAGCAGAGAAATCTGAGGGGATCTGTGATATTTGTGTGTGTTAGAATTGGTGTTCTCCCCCTAAATCCTGTACCATTCTGCTGGAAACACCTCTCAGATGATCCCTGGTACCAGGAGAGCTGACAGGGAGCTTTCTGTCTCTGCAGTGAGTACCTGGAAGCACATCAGGCTGAGCTGGATTATCTCTCTGGTCGGCACAAGGACACCAAAAGGAACTCCAGACTGGTAAGGGGTTTTTAATGTTAAATACTTGAATAAAGTGACATAAGTAGGTGCTTTCTCCCTCCTGGGGTTGTCCAGTTAAAACACTGAGTGGGATCCAGCAAAGCACCACAACCAGAAATTTCCCAAGCACAGTAGCTCTAGATGTGAGAATTTAACTTTGGATCTCTCATTTTCAATATCCAGCAGTGTTCTTCAGCTCATGTTTATTTACTAGGATGTATCTTGTACCAGATCTCCTTGTGTCTGCTCAGTGATCAGTGTTTGCAATGTTCATTTACTGCTAATTAGGATGTTCCTAATGAGGTTTGCAGTGTAAATGAGAGTGTCATTGCAGTGTAAATGGAGGTTCTCTCCTCTTCAGCTGTGCTATTTCTCTTTCAGGCATTCTACTATGACCTGGATAAGGTAAGGCTGCTGGGGAGGAGAAGGAACTGCAAATAGAGGAGAATGGATGATGTGGCTGCTGTTCACTCAATGACACATTTAGGACATAAATTCTCACATCCCTTTTTCTCTCTCTGTGCCCTCTTCAAAAGCAAATCCGCTCTGTGGAGAGATACATCAGAAAATTGGAGTTTCACATTAGCAAGGTAAGGGGTTTGTGCCTGTGAGGCTGACAGTGCTTTGTGATTGCATGGAAAACACTTGGATTATAATTCATCTGGAGGGGAGAGTGCTGGGGCCTTGCTGGAGCCACTCTTTTTACAGGAGGAGGGGATTTTTATTTATTTCTTTCCCTGAATGGTTCTATTCATGGATGTTGAATGTTGGGCATGACCCAGGCGGAGTTTTCCTGTGAAATCAGTTTGCATTCTGTGCCAGTGGATTCAGAAAAGGCTGCTCTGGGCAGCCTGGAGGGCTCTCCCCTCCCAAGGAGTAATTTTGGGGATGTCTGTGCTGCAGAACTTCCAAAGAGCTGAACCTTTCTCTGGCAGAGCTGACAGCTCAGGGCTGTGAGTCTGTGCTCAGGAATTGCTTTCCTGCTCTGCACTTTAGTGAGCAAAGCTTTGCTCTGCTCCTCATTTCCAGTGTGGTAAAAGCAGAGCTGATTGAATTCCTGACAAAAGCATGGGATGTTGAGAGCAAACTGTTGCACTCACTCTGTGAAATGCAGAATTGCAGCGTTCTGCAGTGCTCTGACAGAGGGTTTGGTTTGGGGTTTTTTTTCATGAAATACTGTTGATATTCCTTTCCACAACTCCTTTAAACCATGCCAGGGTAACTCCAGTCCCTGTTTCCCATATTTCAAAGGTAGAAGAGCTCTATGAAGCTTACTGCATCCAGTGCAGGCTGCGGGATGGGGCCACCAACATGAAAGAAGCCTTTTCCCTGTCCCCCTCCACCAAAGCCTCCAGGGAGAGCCTGCTGGAGCTCTACAAGAACGTCCAGGAGTGCACAGAGGTAGGAAATTCTGCACTCCTGTAACCAGGACCTGCCTGTTCCAGCCCAAAAACAGTGCTGGGAATTGCTGCTGGCTTTGTTATTAATGGTGTAGGTCAAAAACTTAATGTGTGAAAAAATACAGGTACATTACATAAAAAATCCTTAATTGGGATCTCTTATGACTTCAACTCATCCCATACTTCAGTGGAAGAAGGAAATGTTGTTTTTACAAAACCAGTGATGGAAGATAACTGACAGTGAGGAGCCCAACGAGTTCCACTCCTCTGTGGAAGCTTTTTTATTTTACAGAATCCATTTGTATTCATTTTATCTGCCTTTGCTGGTGAAAATGTTAGTGTGTCCTTTAAAAAAAAGTTAGAGATGAAGTCTTTTGAAAGAAAAGGCATGAGTGGGAAAGCAGCTAGCCTGCAGTGCTGGTGACTGCAGCTTTTCTTCCAGGACATGTGCTTCATCGAGGGGGCACTGGAGGTGCATCTGGGGGAGTTTCATGTCAAGATGAAAGGTGAGTTCCTTCTCCTTCCCTTCCAGACTCATTCATTGATTTGGGGTTTCTGTATAATCATCTGATCCACTGAGAGTCCCTTTATTCAAGGAGATCTTGAATTGAATTTCAGTAAATTTATTTTTGTTTCAGCATTATAAAACAGACCTAGCATGGTATTTTATATTTGAATAGAAAGCTGATGAACTTTTTCCTGAGCTCAGTTAAATGCTGTCCTTTAGCAGAGTTCTGGGCTGGTGGTGTGGATTCTGCACAGAGCTGAGGACAAGCAGGGCTGTTCCCAGACTGTCACTTGATTTATTGCAAGCTGAGGTGTTGGGAGGCTTTGTAAAACTCTGCAAATATTGAGAATTTTCCTTCTCTTTCCAGGGCTGGTGGGCTTTGCACGTCTGTGCCCGGGGGACCAGTACGAGGTGCAGTACCCAGTGCTGGATTTGTTCTTTATTGTCCTGGAGGGCAGGGGTGGCATTTCCTGTGACTTCAGGGGTTCAAATTGCAACCCCAATTCCTGTCCCCATTTTTCTGTGTTTCCAGTTTACTGGGGTCAGGGTTGGCTTTGCTTCTGTGAGCAGGAGCAGTGGGAACTGAGCACTGGGGGGAATAATTTGGGACATGCTGGCCCAATGTCCTCTTTCCTTTGTGGTTTCCAGGTGTTTGTTAGGCTGGGACGCCAAAAATGGAGGCTGAAAGGCAAAATTGAGACTGATGACAGCCAAACGTGGGATGAGGAAGAGAAGATTTTTATACCCAACCTCCATGAGAAGTTTGAAATCAAGGTGTGGTGTATAATGCATTGGAATCAGTGGGTTAACAGCTCTTCTGCTTCCCCCTTAGGTTACCAAGGATTTCTCAAAATCCTTAAATCATTTTTTTCCTAACTATGCAAAAATGGCATTTAATCCATGTTCTGCCTAGTGAAGGGACATTACTTCTGTTTTTCCTTTGTTCCTGGCACTTATAACTTATTAATGCATCTGAGGCCTGGGATAGGTGGTTGTGTTTTGGGTTTTTTTTTTTAAATCCTACATGAGCATCTGGGAATGTCTATGCTGAAGCCTGGATTTGGAGGACAGAGTTGGTTGTAGATATTATTATTGTTATTATTATTATTATTACCCATGTGGGTGTTCAGTACCTGCAGTGCTGCTCTCTCTCAGATCAGACAAATTCCCATCCAGAAATCCCTGGGTGTGCTCTGACACTGCCCTGCAGTGGGGTTAACCCTGAGCAGCATTTCCACTGCTGGGCTCTGTCATCCCAAAGAGCTGAGCCTGAGGGCTCTGCTGGATCCTGTCCCACTGGGAAACTGTGCCAGTGCAGCCTTTGGCTCCTGGAAACCTGGAAAAGAGCTCTGCAGAGGAATTGGGTTCATGGGAGCATCTGGGGCTCCTGCCAGCTCTGCTTTGGGAATGGCTTTGTCATGTGGTTTTTCATTTTCACTGCACAGTGAGGATCAGGTGAGAAGCTAATTCACATCCCTGTTTTACCATAATTTTTGTAAAAATGTGTATTACTGTGTGACAACGATAGTTTTACTCTTTTTATCAGCTTATGAAAATCTGACAAATGCCCTCCACACCTCCTGCTCTTTCCACTTGGTTCATAATAACATTTAAAACAATAAATTCTGTAGAGCCTTGAGATGAACTGGGTGTGTTTGTGTGTCCCTGCAGGTGACAGAGCTGCGAGGTCTGGCCACCATCCTGGTTGGGGTGGTGACCTGTGACAGCATCAACTTCTTCAGCACCAAACCCCAGGCCATCATCGTGGACATCACCGAGCTGGGCACCATCAAACTGCGCCTGGAGGTGCTCTGGAAGTAAGTACAGCCTCAAACAGAGAGAGGCAGGGAACATTTGGGGTGGTTCAAGGCTCCTGAGGGTGTCCCTGAGCTGATTTTTGTGTCTGGGAGCAGGTGCTGGACAGAAAAGAGCCCCGTGCTCCCTCACAGCAAAGCCTGAGCTGTGCTGGGATCAGCCTCAGCAGGGACAGAAAAGGGACAGGAGCTGCTCCTGTGACATTTCAGATCTTCTTTGGTGTCACCACAGCCAGGAGCCTTCCTCAGCTCCTCACAATCAGCTTTCCATCTAACTCCAAGCAATGTCTACAAAACATGAAAAATAGTCTTAAAGGGGATAAAATGAAACTGAAATTAGCAGTTTCTGGGCACAATGAAAAAATTACACAGCTAAAGTTTTAGGACAATCATTATTACCAGGATGTGATTTGTTAAAATCCAGCTTTCCCAAGGATTTGGCACGGTTGTGTTTGCACTGTCAGTAGTTATGGATACAAATCCTGTTTGTGCACTCCAGGGAAGCTGCTCAAAAATGGACTTTGAAATAGCTCAGCACTGTCATGGTGCCTGTGATGTGTTCAATTTTTATATTTTAAATATGTAACTTGATTTTTTGTAGTGAATTGCTGCTGTTATTAAAAGTGAATTCTCCCTGTTGTGGGTGGTGCACTGGCACTTTCTGCTGGCTCCAGACTCAGCACAGGGTTTTGTGGTAGCTCTGTTCTTTCTGCTTTATGGCACTGTTGTTCCATCCACTCTGAAAGATCCATCTGTAACAAATGAAGGTTTTTTTAACCTGTTTTCATTTGCTGCTGGCCAGGGATTACATCAGCCCTCAGTGAGGTGTGCAGTGGAACAGGGGCCACTCTGCATTTGTGGCTCTGCCCAGCCCTGCATGGCCTTGGAACACCCCTGAGGGGTCAGAACCTCCTTGGGAGGCTGCAGGAAAATCAGAAACAGCTCTCAGCTTCCACTCCTGGGCAAAGAAAAGCTTTATTCATCCCCACACCTGAGTGTTTTGTGTGTGCTGTGGTGCTGGGCACTTGTACCTGCAGCTGAGCTGAAAATGTCTCAGCCACAGCACCTGGGAATTGTTTTCAAACTCAAATTGCTGGAAGGTAATAAGAAATAAACTGAGCTGGCAGAGTTTTGCCTGCCCCTGTTTATGATGGTTTTCCCAGCAGGATACAGAGTTTGGAGGAAATCCCTTTGCTCCCTTCTCTGTGGTTCTGACAGAGCCCTTCATTCACTGCTGATCCTTCACTTCTGTCCTCACCCTCAGCAATTCCAGAATTAATCCTGCACTTCAGGTGTTCTTACAAAAAAACTGGATGAGGAAAACCCCTCCTATTCTGGGAAAGTTCCTCATATCCTGAAACTCCAAAGCAGATTCTGTTTGGGGTAAGACTTTTCTAAGAAAGTCCCATTGCAGTTCTGCTCTTTCTGGCTGTGTCCAACCCTGAGTGCAGCTCTGCAGTTTGGGGCAGCAGCATTCAGCCCTGGCAGTGCTCCCTGAGCCTTTTCTTTGGGATTTAATCCCCCCTGGAATCTGGCAGCTCCAGCTCAGTGTCTCTGCTGTGTTTAACTTTGCTGAGATGTGCTGGGATCCCACCAAGTGGATTCTCCAGAGCTCTTCTGTGCAGAGCTGCCTCTCCTCCCTGACTGTTTTCTCTTCTCTGTAAACAGCCTCAGCAGTTTTGTGGTGATAACTCAGGGTGTTTCTGTTTTCAAAGACAGAGCACTCCAAAAAACAGCTGCTTTTTTCTCTGATTTAAGAATAACTAAACAAATCCCTCTGATTTACTCAAAGTTCCCTGAGAGGCAAGCTTTCAGTCTAGACCTGCTTTGTGAGAAATCCAAATGTAGATCTCTCTTCTGCTTCCAAATGTATATTTTCTTTAAATAGGCCCCTGGTCTTCTGGGCTCAAACAAAAGTGCCTTCAGCCCCTTTATAGATGGTGCCATGAGGGGTGTGAATGAGCTCGGGGCCGTTGCAGCACGGCTTTGTTGGCCAGTTTGGCAAAAGGCTTTGGGTTTTTTGCCAACCTAAACAGCAGTCTGAATTCTGTGTCTCACATGCAGGATAAAGAGAGAGCTGTGTTCCCTTTCAGAGCTCCTGCAGCCCCCTGTCCTGGGCTCCAAGGCACCATCCAGTCACAGCCACTCTGCCTGGAGAGGAGCACAAAGCCTTAAGGGAGGGTAAAAAAGGAAATTCTGCCTTTTTGTTTTGGGATGCATTCCTCCTGCCAGCTCAGGTGAATGTACAGGATCTCTGTGCTGTGACCCCTGGGTGCTCCTCTGTGCTCTCTGAGCCTGCTCAGATGGATTTTCTGGTGTTTGTTGGGCTGGGGAGGGTGGGGGAGCCCCAACCACTGCCCCTCTTAAACTGGACATGGGCACATCCCCTGGTGTAATGGGGGAAGGGAAAATCTCATGATTAACAGCCAATCCACTCCCCTTGACAGGAATTGGTGGGTTTTTTTTTTTTTTTTTAATATATTTATATAAACCTGCATTCAGGCTGAGCAGGGGGCTTCAGGCAGGGAATTCTACCCCCAGGTCTGCTCTGGGGGTGTTGAATGCCAGGAGTGGGCACAAGGGGAGTGATCAGGGCACAGATGGGGACATCACAGATTAGATTTTTTTTTTTTTTAATAGATTTTTTCAGGCCTGGAGAGCTGTTGCAGGATAATGCTGTGCAGGCGTGTGGATGTTGGCTGGGGAACGCTGACAGGAAATGTGGAGGCACCACTGCTCTCAGTGCAGCCACCCCCTCATCCCCTCACTCCACAGTCCAGGGTTAAACAATGACATTCCTGCAGAATTTTTACCTAGGCAGAGGTTTTGTGTCAATGATTTCAGGAAGTGACTAAACAAACTGAGGAGAGCCAGTGACATTCGAGGCAATAGTCTGGTTGGAGAGTCTGGTGCATGACAGCTCCCAGCCATGGAGTGCCTCAAACCCCATCCTGTGTCTGGGAGAGCCCACTCTGGGTGTGTGAATTCCTCTGCTCCTCCCTGGAATATCCCCTGGGTTCTGTCTGTGTCAGAATGTGGGGAGATGGATTCATGGAGCTGAATCAGTGTGATATTTACTGGAGAGCTGTGATGGATCCTGCTCAAGGGATAACAGAAGCTCCAGAGCAGATTCCATTCTCTCTTTCCCCCTCTGTTCTCTCTCTCTCAGTCATTCCTTGCAGAGATCAGGAGCCTGTGCCTGGCTGGAGCCAGCATTTTGAGGAGCTGCATTTTGGTGGAGGCTTTTAGGAATTGTCAGAGGGGCACAGCAGATTCTGTTTGTTCTTGTTCCTTTCCTGGAAGTGTCATTTTGCATTACTGCATCACTCTATTAAAAGCTAATGAGGAAAAATCTGAGGAATGGATCCCTGTGACTTTTGTTCAGAAATGCCATGGGCAGGAGTAATTTGCTTTCATCAGTGAACACAGCAGGCTTTGGCTAAAAGGCTCTTGCTGTCAGAAAGGCCATTTATTTCTGCTCGCTGAGTCAGTGCAGATGTTGTGGCTGTGGCTGGGCTGGGTGATGGAGCCCAGCTGGTGACACTGTGGAAATTCAGCAGTGAACCTGGGCCAGGGGCTCACAGAGCCCTCACTGCCTCTGTGCTCAGGGACAGCAGAGTGCTGGATGCTCTGGGGAATGATCCCAGTGAAACACCAGAAGCCACAGAGGGTTGGGACTCTGCTTTTCAGCTTYTCTAGAGAGCAGAACTTCCCTGCAGCTGATCAGTCCCTGTGATCACTCGGATCCCTGCAATGCTCAGCTGAGTTCAGCTGACTGTAACCTGCCCTTCATTGTCACATTCATCTCTCTGAGATTGCAGATTTCTTGTGAACAATTCACTTTTTTCCAAATGCCAGTACTCAAGTGGAAAAACAACCTTTGTTTTATGCCCCAAGGCATATCAGTAGGGAACAAAAAGTAACACACGTAACACCCAAACTTGCTTTGCTTACCTTGAGTTTCCTTTTCCCTGTCCTGGTGAGCTGAGCTGCATCCCAAGGGATCATTCACCCGAATTTCCTTCGACTAAAGGATATCTGGGATGTTGTGGGTAATTAGGGAGTCTTTGGAGCAGCCCTTGACAAAGTTTGCATGCACAGCAGTGTCCTCTGGGCTCATCCCTGTGAGCTCAGAACTCATCCAGAAATGCTGCACGAGCTTCCTCTGCCAGCCAGGGATTGTTTATTAACAGCTGAAGGATAATGAGGGTTTCTGTTGGTTTTTCCAGGTGGTGTGTGCTCTGCAGGAGGGAATTGGCAGCTGAATTTCCTTCCTCTATGGTTTTGTGCCCAGGGCTGGGTGTGGGGGGGACAGAGCCCTCCAACCTTTGGGACCATTGGGCTGTTCTCCCCACAACTCTGCACAGATTCCTGTCTGAGGGGTGTTGAGATGCTGTGTAAAACCAGCAGCAATCACAGACACTGCTCAGAGAGGCAGATTCTGTTTCCTTTCACTCTGCTTTGYTGTCTGAAGGTGCCAGTTCAGATCCTGCCAGCTCAAACCCCTCCCTGCTCTCTCTGACTCTGRGCCTTTGTTCTGTGCCGCAGCCCCTTTGACACCGAGAACCTCTTTCTGTCCCCTGGAAGCACTGCCAAGTTCTCTGTGGGCAGCAGGAAGAGCTCCTTGTACAACTGGACACCCCCAAACACCCCCAGCTTCAGAGAGAGGTATTACCTGGTGAGTACAGCAAAATTCAAAGTACAGACTCCAGGTGGGATTTTTGGGTTGAACTGTTCAGGAGCACAATCAGAAATGGGAAAACAGCACTTTGTAGTTTATTTTTGGGGCCTTGTTGAATTTCTTTTTTAGCCTCTATTCTTTTGAGTTCTATTTTAGATTTTGTAAAACATTAAAAAAACCCCTCAAAACAGTAAAGCCCTGCTGAGAAGCTGCAATGGCAGGGTTGTGGTGTGTGCCCCATAGTCTGCGGGATCAAACTGGGACCAGGTTCCCCTCTCTGGGGTGGGATCCGAGCCTCTCCTGCTGTCCCCAGGCTCACTGGGGTCTATTTTTGCAGTCTGTTTTGCAGCACAGGCAGAGCCCGGGCGATGGAGGGGAGGAAGCTCAGCCCCCCAGCATTCTGAGCTACCTGGCTGCCTGCGATTTCCACGGGAGGAACAAACCCCAAAACCCCGCAGAGACCAGCGAGGGGGACTCGTTCAGCTCGGAGGATCAGAAAGGGGCAGAGTCAAGGAGCACAACCCCAGCGCTGGAGCACGGGATGCTGCCACTGGTGATCATTAAAGAGAGCGGAGCAGCAGAGCATCCTCTGCCCGATCACAGCACTCTGGACATCCTGAAGAAAACCCCGTGTGTGGACTCATTTCCCAGTAACTCCCCCGGTTTTCCCAGCCGGCACAAAGGCAGGAGAGGCTCCTTCAGCCAGGCTCGGAGTCGCCGTCTGGCAGAGCAGGAAAACCTCAGCCAGAGGAGCTGGAACGGAGCCAGCGACCCGAGAGCGGATGGGCGAGCCAAGTGCATGGACAGGACCCTGCAGGAGGTGATAAATCTGCTCAAATGCCGTCCCGAGGGACAAGCCCCGCTGGAGAAGTTGGAATGCCAGGTTTCGTCTCTGAGGGATAAATTAAAGGTGCGGTTGTGCTGTTCTTTGCGGTGYGGGGCTGTTTCTGGTACTCCTGGGTGGGTTCGCTGCCCCCGGGGCTGCTCGGATGAAATTCTGCGG